TGCCTCCTACTACTTCCTGCCAAGTGTAGCCAGCTGTTCCACCACATCCCACATCCCAGCCAGGGCTGAGCCGGGACCCCTGCCCGGATTTGTTCTGTGCTGTGGAGACAGCACCGGGCAAGGAATGCGGAGACTAAGACACAGCTCTGTGTCTCCCAGCTGGGAGGCCTGGGACAAGCTCTGCCTCAGCTCATTACCTCCGAACTGGGAATAATGCGACGCCCTGCAGAGCGTTGGCCTGCGGACTGAAGGGTCTCAGGTTCAATTCCGGTCAAGGGCATGTACCTTGGTTGCGGGCGCATCCCCAGTAGGGGGCTGTGTAGGAGGCAGCTGATCGATGTTTCTCTCTCATTGATGTTTCTAACTCTCTATCCCTCTCCCTTCCTCTCTGTAAAAAAAAAAAAAATCAATTAAAAAAAAAAAAAAAAAAAAGAACTGCTACGAGGATAATGTAGGAATGGGTGCATCTGGTAGTCGTGGTTCAATACACCTTAGTTATTCTCGCCCAAGAAAGTGCTGAGCCTCCCTCATAAAACCTATATGCTGTGGGCTTATCGAGTGCCAGGAGCTTGGCTGTTAGTAGCTGTCACAGAAGCAGCAGTACTAGTGGCAGTGGCAGTAATAATAATAATAAATAATAATAATCACCTTCTTTTATTGCTAGGCATAGTTCTAAGTGCTTTACATATATTAGCTCATTTCATTTTCACAACGACCCATGAAGTAGATACTATTAAGCCCAACGTACAGATGAGAGACTGAGGCAAAGAGAGGTCAAATAACTTGTCCAAGGTCACACAGCTGGTAAGTGGAAGAGCTGGGATGCAAATCCCAGCCCCTCTGCCCTGACGCGGGCTCAGCCTGCCAATGAGCCTGGGAATGCACACGTGCTTTAGCGTGCAGAGTGTGACGCACACATGTGCGGGAGGACTATACCCGGCCCCTGGGGAGAAGGTCGATACCCAGCAAATGTTGATGTGGAAGAGGAAACCAAGGCCAGCGGCACTGCCCACCTTCTGTCCCTGTGCTCAGTGGGCCTACCTGGGGATGCCGAGGGTGCCAGGGCGCCAGGGCTGGTGCTGCTGCAGGGCTGGGCGGAGTCAGGAGTGGGGTTGAGGGTGGACGTGGAGGAGACGGGCTCCTTGGCAGGGCTCTCGGGTTCCTGCATCTCCTCCGGGCACAAGTAGACTTCGATGGGCCCCTGCGTGCTCTTCAGATAGATCTGCAGGTTTTCCTGGAGGAAGAGAAGCCAGGGCATGGCTCCGGGCAGCTGTACACCCACTCATGGGTCAGCGTATACGGACCGGCACACGTGAGCAAGCTCCGCTCCTGAGCTGGGCCCTGAGGCCTGTGGTCAACCAACCCCTGCTGCTTCTGCCTGCCTGGCCCCCAGGCCTTTCTTTCAGGGAAAATGCCTGGATTTCCCTCTGGGAAATCACGCTTCCTCCACTCTCGTCTCGGAGTTGGGAGCGGGAGGCAGCCCTCTGCCCCAGCTCGAACGGGCGAGCCTGGGATGCAGGATGAGAGAGGAAAGTGACGGTGACCATGCAGGGTGACACGTGACTCAGGTCCGTCCACCGAGCATCCGGCCCAGGGCCCGGAAATGGACGCTCCTGTCGCCCTGGGGTTGCTGAGCTGGTGCCATGAACACTGCCTTTGCCACAGGGGAGAGCCCACCTAGGAATGGAGTCGGCACAGAGAACGGCAGTAAGAGATGAAGCATGAGGTGAACTTAGTGTCATGATGTGAACCCCTGGATCCAGCCTTGCCTGCAACCCACATCTCCCCGGGACCCGTCACTTTCTCCCCTGCCCTCTCGCACTGAAGGGAGTTGGACTTGTCTTTCTGTTCCCCGGAACCATAAGCCCCAACCCTGCCTCTGGTCCACCACATCCCGGCAGCTTAAGCCACAGCTGACCACACACACGCCATCCCTGCAGGCACTCAGCTCTCCAGGCAGGTCAGGAGCAAAGCAGCAGCTGACCACACACACACACACACACACACACACACATGCGTGCGCCATTCATGCAGCACCCTCCTTCCCCTACTCCACCCAGCAAACATCCTGCTCAGTATCACTGAGATAAGTTTGACAGGTGATGACTAAACTTAGTGTGGCGATCATATTTAAGGTATATCCCTGTCGAGTCCTTATATTGTACACCTGAAACTAGCACAATAGTGTGTACAACTACATGTAAATACATAAATAAGACAATTTAAAAACAAAATCCTTTCAAAATCTTTTTTTCTTGAAATATTAATGCTTATTGCATGTAACAGATTTAAAACTTTTTCTTGAAATATTAATGTTTTTTTAAAATCCTATTAATTCTTTAGGACCCAGTTTAACTGTCACCACCTATGGGTGCATCCTCCAACTCTCCTTCCTCCCGGCCCACAAAGCACATCTTCCATCTGCAAATCACAGCACCCCTGCTTGCCTGGGTCTTGTCCCCTCTAGGCTCTGAGCTCCGCTGAGGTGGTGGGCGGGGCCTCATTTATCTGAATGTTCTTCCATTAAACCAATTATTTCTTGAGCCTTTATCAGGCTCTGAGTTGGAAGTTTCTCACTCATTATATAGCTCAGAAATAACCCACATGGGAGGAACATATTTTTGTGGGGTTCACACTCTCATGGATGAAGCAGAACATAGTCATGTAAACACCAAGATATTGGTTATGAAGTCTGGGGGTGATCAGGGAAGGTTTCCTGGTGGAAGTGATGCTCAAGTGCAGGATCAATAGCAGTAAACCAGGCAGAGAGAGGGAAGAGCATGTCAGCTGGAGGGAATAGCATGTGCGAAGGTGCTGCACTGGGGACGAGCTTAGGGTGGTGGGGAAACTACAGGCAGGTCGGAGGCTGAAGCAAAGAGAAGAGGAGCCGCATGGGAGAAGAGGATGGCAAAGTAAGAGCAGAGAGGGCCTCCTGGGGGGTGTTAAGAATTTTGGTCCTGCCCCTGGCTCAGTTGGCTGAGCATCATTGGTGCACTGAGAGGTCATTGTTCGATTTCAATCAGGGCTTATGGGGACATGGAGGGGCAGCAGATCATTGTTTCTCTCTCTCACTCATTGATGTTTCTCTTTTCCTTTCCCTTCCTCTCTCTCTAAAATCAATTTTTTTTAAATGATTTTGGTCTTTAATCCAGGGCAGCATGGTTGGCACGGAAGGGCTCTTGTGAGCACTAACACTGCTGTGTGCAGGCACACGTTACTGTGAGCACTAACCCTGCTGGTGCGGGCACACCTGCCTGTGTGCGGGACCACAGGGCTGGTGGGATGCAGAGAGAAACCAGAAACAGAGATTCTTCTCGGCCAGAATCTGTTGCCCTTTCCAGCTTCTGTCATTTCTGCCCCAGCTCAGAGAACGCCGATCTTGCCATGGGCACCTGCGTGGCCTGGGGCAGCTGGGGGCCGGGCAGTGCCTGGAACAGAGCTTCCCGGACCCTCCCAGCCCCGCTCTCCGCCAATGCTTCCCCTCTCACCTCATTCCGGTCGGGCACTTCCAGTCTGGTCTGTGGAGGGGCCTTGACCGCGATCACGGTCTGCTCCTTGAAGGTGTCAATAGCACGGATGTCCTGGTAAGTCACGTAGGCCAGTGTGGGGGGCGGGGGAGTCAAGGAGGTAAAAATCCACACCCCGGCCCGCCAGGCAGGGTCCGAGCCACTCTCCTCAGCCTCTGGACATTTTTTCCTCACTCGTTATAGAACCCCAGAAACAACCCAGAACTGTAACCTGTTCTTTTAATATCAAAGTTACCTTGGATCCCTTTAGAAAGCAAATGAGGATATAAATAATTTTTTAATGCTGCCTTTTATCAGGTTTTACACAAAAGGCTTCATCTCTCAAACTAGAGAAGGCAGGAAGATATGTCTTTTTTTTTTTTTTTCCTTTTATAACCCTGTCTTTATTGCACTTGCTGATTTTCAGTAAGGAAGATGTCTTATTTATTTAAGACTTTCACAATGCCTACCATCCATCCAAAAACACAAAGCCATCTCCAAAACCCAATTAGATGGTAAAACTATTTGGGGAAAATGTCTGAAAAGCCTTAGCAAAGTCCATACTCTGTGACCTCATCATTTCAAACCTAGGAATCTGACGTAGGGAAATAAGTTTAAAAAAAAAAATAGGACAATGTTTTATATATAAAAGCATTCATCATTTTGTTGCTTCATAGGAGCATAAATCTAGAATAGATCTAAATGTCCATGTTAGGCCTTATCAACAAATCAGAGTGTAATCTGAGTAGGATATTTTCAAACTATTTCAAATATGAGGTTTAAACCACATGAGATTGCTGTTTTTGTAGATAAAAAAAATGGTTCAATGTCAACAACTTCATGTGGATCAGGAAGGATTTTTAACTCATAAAAACTGTCTATGGTAGTATACTAAGGGGAGAGAAGCAGGATATAAAGTGTTAGGCACAGCAGTCACACACTATCCTGTATGATAAAAGGCTAATATGCAAATTGACCGAACAGTGGAACTACCGGTTGCTATGATGTGCACTGACCATCAGGGGGCAGACGCTCGATGCAGGCGCTGTCCCCCGGTGGTCAGTGTGCTCCCACAGGGGAGCACCGCTTAGCCAGAAGCCGGGCTCACGGCTGGTGAGCACAGCGGCGGTGGCAGGAGCCTTTCCCGTCTCCGAAGCAGCGCTAAAGGATGTCTGACTGATGGCTCAGGCCAGCTTCCCATCCCCCAAGGACTCCTGGACTGAGAGGGTACAGGTCAGGCTGAGGGACCCCCCCCCCCTGCAAAGTGCATGAATTTCGTGCACTGGGCCTCTAGTATTTAAACAACACACAACCCGTGTATGTTTAAAGAACAATGTTATGATGGCTGCTATTTCTTTCCTGCACTTTGCAGATTTAAAGAAATGTGCTTGTCTCACTTGTACTATGAGAAAGTAACTTCAACAGAGTCAAGAAGAAAAGCCACCCAGAAAGGAAAAAGCAGATGATATGCCAGACCCCGAGGGCGTTATTGCATCAACTCCGGGTAGATATGAGAGCAGCAGGCCCAGCCCCCTGACCACCTCCTCCCGGCCACCGAGGATATTTCTTGTTGGCCTTGTCCTCGGTCAGGTGCTTGAAGTTCAGAGAGCAGCTCTGGATGAGCTGGTCCAAGGCCTGCTCCGTGCTCATCAGCTCCTTCAGCTCCTGTCCCAGCTGCTGCTGCTTCCCAGGCCGGGTGGGGTCCTCCAGTGCTCCTTTGCCTCTGGAACAGAGCGGGTGCCCAGCGTCAGTCTCAGTGCACAACCAGGGACCCCAACCTGAGCACGGCTGGCTGCGCAGAGCCGCAGGGATGCAGACGGTGTCAATCCCCAGGATGAGGCCATCCCCAGGGTCTACAAGAGCGCCCCCGGGTTGTGCAAGTCAGCAGTCCCGTCTGGCTCCCAGGGAGCTGCTGGGAAGCGAACCTTGAGGTTTGAGGATTGGGCTAGGACAGGGGTCGGCAAACTCAGTCAACAGAGTCGAATATAAAGAGGACAATGATTGAAATTTCTTTTGAGAGCCCAAATTTTTAAACTTAAACTTCTTCTAACGCCACTTCTTCAAAATAGACTCGCCCAGGCCGTGGTATTTTGTGGAAGAGCCACACGCAAGATGCCGAAGAGCCGCGTGTGGCTCACGAGCCACAGTTTGCCGACCACTGGGCTAGGGAAAAGTAACAAGTCAGGGCATTACCCCATGTGTGGAGGGCTTTCCACTCTGTCCACCCCTGCCCCAGCCTCCCCCATATGTCGGGGAGCTAGAATGACCTCAGTCCTGACCCCCCTGCCTCGGTTCTCTTAGGGCTCATGCCAGGGGGTGCAGTTCTGCTCTTTACGACCTTGTAGCAGGGAGGGGAGGAGCCTGGAATACTCAGATCTCCCAGCTGGAAGGAGTCTGGGTTGTTAGCTCTCAGGTCCCTGGGGACTTTCCTAAACTAGAAGAGGGAACTCTTGGGATCCCTGACTCAAGAGAATGCAGTCCTCTGAGGCCTTCACACATCCTGGAAAGCATTCTCCACCCTAGGCCTGCCAAGCACTCCTAATGCTCCAGCACATACACCTGTTCCCCTACTCTGCTTAGATACTGGCTCCGCCCCCAGCGGATAAGCCTATTGGATGTTGCTCTTGGTCCACCCCTGCCGCTTGTGCCCATTGGATGCTGCTCTCAACCCCCATCCTTGACATTCACACCCACTGGACCCTGCTCCTGGCTCTGCCCCCAGCCCCAGCCCAGGCACTCACACCCACTGGATGTTGTTCTTGGCCTTCTTGCGAATCAGCTGGATGCCCTCCAGCACGTTGGTGATGTCATAGATGCGCCGCTTTTGCACATCCAGCACCTCCGCAGCCCAGTTCAGGTCCAGGACCCCGTCCTTGGACTCGCTCAGGAGGTAAATGAACTTCTTGGTGAGCAGCCCCAGCGATGTGTCGTACCGAGTCTTCTCCCCGGGGGACTTGGGTGCTGAGGAGGAAAGGGGCCCGGCCATCGCTCAGAGAGGCCCAGCCTGGGGAGCCTCTCCGGGAACCTGGACCCATTCAGTACCGCCCTTCCCGGAAGCACCCACTTTCCACCGGGAGGGAGGGGATCATTCACTACCATTGTCCAAACCGGAAGCCTTGTGCCTCCAGAGGGAAAGTGATTTGCTTAAGGTCTCACAGTTAAGGTCAGTGTCGGGGCTAGAAACCAAGTGTCCGGATACCTGGTTCAGAGGCTCTTTCCACCACAGCTTAGGCAGCTCCATCACCACTACCATCACCATCACCATCACCACCAAATGCTTACTGTGTGTAGATCAATGTCCTATGCAATTTCCACAGACAACAAACGTGATCCTTACAACACCCTATAAATTTGGTGTATAACCATCCCCATTTTATAGATGAGAATACTGAGGCACAAGGCAGGTTCAGTAGCTTGCTCAGCTCGCTCAGCTAGAAAGTGGCAAAGCTGGAATTTACATCCAGGAGTCTGGTTCCAAGTCTTCCTTCTTCTTCTTTTTTTTTTTTTTTTTTAAATATATTTTATTGATTTTTCACAGAGAGGAAGGGAGAGGGATAGAGAGCTAGAAACATCGATGAGAGAGAATCATCGATCAGCTGTCTCCTGCACACCCCCTACCGGGGATGTGCCCGCAACCAAGGTACATGCCCTTGACTGGAATCGAACCTGGGACCCTTCAATCCGCAGACCGACGCTCTATCCACTGAGCCAAACCGGTTTCGGACAAGTCTTCCTTCTTCACCATCACCCTATCCTGCCGGTTATGTCAGGCATTTGGAATTAGGGCAGGGAGGGAATGACCAGCTGGGACTTGAGAACATTCTTACAGACTTGCCTCTCGTCTCCGTGTGCAGCCCAGTGGTTATCTGAGCGGAATCAGTCCTGTCACATCGAAGGGGGCAGGGTCACGGAAAGGTCCCTTTCTTAATGGAGCTGATGTCACAAGACACCGCACCTCAGCTGCGACATCTTCAACCGCAAAGAGAACTTTTGCAATAAAGTGACTTGCAATTCATACAGCGAGTGGATGTCCAAACTAGATCAGGAAACTGAGTTTTAGAGAGTCTCAGATTCCTCTAGAACAGTGTTTCCCAAAGTTTGGTACGCGTACCCCCAGAGGTACGGGAAGAGTTTGGTGGGGATATGCACTGCACCGTGCTTAGCTGCACCTAATTCTACGTTCTCACGAGTACGAGGGGTACTCAGCGTTACGAAAATGATAGAAGGGGTACACATATGTCAAAAATTGGGAAACACTGCTCTAGAAGGAGACTTCAGGATCCTTTCACATACAGATGCAAGCATTTGGCACGCGGGCTGCTTTCTCAACCAGCGCATGTGGGATCCTTTGATAAAGAGCTTGGGCATGTCTACCAATCAACTGGGAAGGAAGCCTTCTTACTCTTCCTGATCTAGCTGTGCCTCAGTTTACAGAAGAGACCATTGAAAAGGTTCACGGAAAAGGAGTGGCCAGTCAGATCAGGGCACAGCCCCGCCAGGACCCCCAAACCCCTGACCCTCACGCTTCCCACCCAGTCACATACCTTCTTCGCTGGGTTTCTGTCCCCCAAATTAAGAGTTCTCTCTATCACAGGTGCGGAACCTCCCGCTCTAACCAGGATACTGACTGCAAATTCGGAGGCAGAGAACCTCTCCTCTGGATCTCAACCTCTGAGGCCGGATGAACCCGAGCGTCACTTCCCTTCGCTAGCTCTCTGTCTGCATCCCTGCTCCTCTCTGAGCTGGACCCTCTCTTTTAGAGAAGGCCAGGTTGAATGAAATGCAAACAAAAATAGTAAGTTCCCAAGCCAATCGCTGGTCATCACGTTTGGAACCCAAGAGCAGTGTATAGTGTGAGAGAAGGAGTACAAGACTAGGCGGTAGCCGAAACCAGTTTGGCTCAGTGGATAGAGCATCGGCCTGTGGACTGAAGGGTCCCGGGTTCGATTCCGGTCAAGGGCATGTACATTGGTTGCGGGCACATCCCCGGTAGGGGGTGCGCAGGAGGCGGCTGGTCGATGTTTCTCTCTCATCGATGTTTCTAGCTCTCTATCCTTCTCCCTTCCTCTCTGTAAAAAAAAAATCAATAAAATATATTAAAAAAAAAAAAAAAAAGACTGGGTGGTAGTCCGCACTCTACTTACTGGCAGTGACCTCGGGCAAGCCACCCTGGCTCTGAGTCTCCAGTGTTTTATCAGTAAAAGAGGGGCAATCCTACCTCCCTGGCAGGACCCAGCGAGAGAACACACAGGAAACGGCTGTGTACACCAGGAAGTGTGCTACAAATATCCCTCCCGGGGGTCTGGGCAGGGCTGCTGCCCTATGCCCCTGCCCACCCCCCCACCCCCCTGTCGCCCGAGTCTGCCCCCAGAGGCCCCGCCAGCACTTACTCTTCGGGCTGGGGAGGCCATCCACTCTAATGAGCTTCCCCTTGGGAGTCTGGAACTCCAGGGCCGCGGGCCGCCCAATGCCCTCCAGGTCCAGCTTCCTTTTGGCCTTGGAGAGAGAGGGGAAGCAGAGGCAGAGTTTGAGAATCATTCCCCCTCAGACTTGTCCCAACCAGGGGCCAGAGCCCCGAGGCCACCAGCAGCCACTTCCTGCCTCAGTGGACCACCCGTCCTGCAGAAATGGGACTGTACTTGGTAAGGAAGCACCAATGACCGTAAACGTGACCTTTCACGGGAAGGACGTCCTGGTTTCTGAGGGTCACCCAGCACTCCCATCCTCGGAGGCCCAGGCACCTGAGACCCTGCCAAAGCCAGTCTGGCCAAGAGCTCAGAGTCCCTTAAAAACAGGCCACAAGGTCCCTGCCACCTCAGCCCCTTCCCCCATGCACCGAGGATGGTGCAGGAAGGAGTGGGTGGGGCCTAAACCACATCAGACTGGGGACAGCCCCCTCCTGCAGGAGCAGCTGCCGCAGCCACCCTGGGTGCCCATCACAGCGCCACAGCTGGCCCTTATCAGGGTGGGGCCGGGCATCCACCCAGGCCCAGGGGACTTCCTGGACCGGTGCCACGCCTCAGGGAGGTGCCCGCAGCGGGAAGCAGTGCAAACATCCCCCACCACAGGTTTGGGTCCCAGCTCCAGGGCCCAGGGCCTCCTGAATGGACTCCGTTTGCCACTCTCTCTCTCTCTGTGGAGAGGGGCAGACAATGAATCCTTCCCTGCGTCTTACGGACAAGCAGCTGAGGTCCCCTGCCCCCCGCCCTGTTCCTGCCAAGCTTGGGAAACACCTGCTGGGGAAATCAAACCACAGACCCATCTGCTCCTCTCCACCCCATTGCCACCGGCCCTCCTAGGCCCGGAAGGGGCCTCTCTCCGGGTTAGGGCTGGGCAGGGGCAGGGCCGGGACACTGGGGCACTGGGACACGGGGTCAGGGACCTGAGCTTGCACCTCCCAGCTCCTTCACGGTGTGTGTGTGCATGCGTGCGTGCGTGCGTGCGTGCGTGTGTGTGTATGAGACGTGGGGAAAGGCCCCACACCTCGGGCCTGTTTCCTCCTTTGTAAAGTGGGGCAGACAGAGTGCTCAGCCTGCAGCTCAGCGCACAGTGGATGCTCAGGACACGCAGACGCCTTCTCTGAAACCCAATCTCAGCCTCTCGGCACACCCTGGTGAGGGTCACCGAGCCCATTTCTCCTCTCCCCACCCCCAGTCCCCCTCACCCCATCGGAGCAGAGAGGCCTATTTTAACCTTTGGCGGTGAGGTCATGCTCGGCAGGGCTGAGACTTCTAACCGCTGCCGAGCACAGCTGGGCTGACAGGTGTGGGCGGTAATGACAGTTCTTCTTGCTCTAAGCTCCCCTCTGGGCTGTCTCCCCCCCCCCCCCCCCCCGCCACCTGCTCCAGGAAGTCCTCTTGGATTGGTCTGAGGAGTATTGCTCCTCCGTTTCTCTCCTCCACACCTACCCTGACCTGGACATAATCCAAAGGCCTCCCTGCTCATTCCTCTTTAAGTCTCTCTGGAATATTCCTTTTCTAACCTCCCAGCGGGTGACATCCCAGACTCTAGGGTAGGTGACCTTCTCCGGCCCCCGCACTCCTCGCCTCACTCCATCTTCCCAACACCCCTGATCCTCATCTTACGGCTGAGGTAACTGAGACTATCAATCCAGATGAAAGTTATTGATCCCAGCATCCTTCATCCAGTCCTCAAAAGGAATGCCAAAGGCAGGGAGAAGGGAAGTGAGTCTGAGTTCCCCCCGAGACAGAGGTAGGACAAGCCAGAATCTCCCCCACCCCAACCACCTCCCCTACCGGACCGGAGCCAGCCCTGCTGAGTTTCCAGAACATTCCAGGAAGACCCCCGTGACCTGCGGGTGGGAAGGAGGGGAGGACCTTGAACAGAGTACCTGTGCCGGGCCTATCCCGTGCTCATCAGCCCTGCACCATCAGTATGGGCAATCTCTCTCGGAAGAGAAGGGGACCGCAGGCACTGCCCAGCCAGGCTCCACGGCAGAAGGCAGGCCAGGGCCCAGGGCTCCGCGCTCACACTGCCCAGTGCTTTTCCCACCGCTTTCTGGAGATGCATGGGAATTTGTCTGTGGACTCAGAGAGGGTAAGCTGTGTGCCCAAGGTCAGAGTTTGAACCCAGGTCTGTCTGATTCCAAAGCCATCCACCAGGCTGCCCCAGCTCCATCCCATTCACATTCCCTCCGAATCGGCTGGAATGTGGGCCAAGGCCTTCCTCTACCCTCCTGCCCCCATTACTTACACTTACACACACACACACACACACACACACACACACGCACACACACGTCCTCTCCCTTCTCTCCCTCTCTCTCAACCTTATCCTGCATCTCAGAGTCCCTAAGCAGCATTGTGCCCCTCACCCGAGGACATCGGTCACCTTTATGCATTGCCCAGAGAAGGGTCCACTCACGGGTGGGCCTGCGCCTGCAGAACACACGTGGCAGAGGGCAAGCCCAGAAGGACGAGGACCCAGGAGAGGCTGAGTCAGAGGCACCCGGGTTCCCATCCGGCCCTCCCACCCACTTCTTGGCTGGCAAGTCAGTTGCCGTCCTGAGTGCTACCTGTGAAATGGAGCTAAGCTGCTCAGCCTCTGCTCAGGACTCAGGGAGACAGTGCAGCAAAGCACTTTGCTCACGCAGGCGGGGGGGGGGGGGGGGGGGGGGGGGGGGGGAGGTGTGTGAGCGCCAGGAGCAGCAGCAGGGGGAAAGTTCAGAGGTAAGCTGAAAGCTGAAAAGACAGGGACGTGCCAAGAGCAAACGGCTGGGACCACACCCCGCGGCCAGCTTGGCTCTAACTTGGACCCGGACCCTCGCAAGCAGCCCCTGGGCCTCTCTCAGGCCAGAGCCCAGGAGGACACAACCAGCAAGGTGTTCCTCGTCTTTCATGGTTCTCAGAGGACATTTGGAAAGTATCGAGAAATTAAAGGGAAAGGAGAACAGTGCAGAACCCCACCCTCTTCAAGGGTTCCCTTGGGGACGAAAGGCAAGGATGCAGGGTGCTTGGCTGGAGTAGGGACTCCACAGACAAATTCCCACGCATCTCCGGAAAGCGGTGGGGAAAGCACTAGGCAGTGAGCGCGCGGGGCCCTGGGCCCTGGCCTTCCTTCTGCCGTTGGACCTGGCTGGGCAGTGCCTGCGGTTCCCTTTAACCAGCAGCCCGCTGACAAATCCTGCTCGCCCTGCACTTTGCAGCCCGGCCACAGAGCAAGCGCCACACCCAGGGCTGGGCCTGGAGCTGTTCCAGGTCACACCCTGGTGAAATGAGTAAGCAGGGGGCCGAGGCCTGCCCACAGGGCTGTGGGCACCGGGCACCTGAGGACTGACAGGGGAGGGGCTTTCTGGGCCTGGTAAGCCTGTAGGGTGGGGTCCGATGCGAGGAGACTCTCCCACCTGTGGGCTTGTTACCTGGACGAGGGACCTCGCGTCTCTGCTCGGTCTCCTCATCTGTGAGATGCCTCATCCCAGGCATCCTGACCAAGATAAGGAAGGGGAAGAGTGACAAGCAGTGCCTGGCGCGCAGCGGGCTCTGGGTAACAGAGAGCCATTCTTGCTGTGATTACGGAGCCCCTCTGGGAGGGAGGTACAAACAGATGCTCTCGGGCTCCTCCGGGAGGGAAGCACTTCAAAACCACAGCTGTTACTGAAACCCCGCCGGGGGGCCTGCAGCAGCTGGCCAGAGGAGACAGGCCGCCCTGAGCCCCTTCCTGGGGAGGGGAGTCCTCAGAGAAGACGAAGGGTCCCTGCTGCGGTCACACACATCCCTGGATGGCCGTGGGCAGGAGCTCAATCCCCCTCTCAATCCCCCCGCCCCCGGAAGAGGGAGCTGCTGGCGCCATCTACTCCAGGGGGGTTTAAAACTGTGTTAGGCTGTAAATGCTGAGCACAAGATAGACACCCAGACCTAGTTATCCGTGGCTGCTTGACCAGTAAAATGAAAACAGCTCTCCTTCCTCCTGGCAGGAAATGGCACGCAGGAAGAGGAAAGCCTTGGGAATGCGCAGAGCATGGTTCCGGTGGCAGAGCATTGGGGCTCTGCCTGCATCTAGCAACGGCGAGCCCGACCAGGTGCCTCTAGGGCATAGCCTGACCCCTGACCCTGAAGGATTCACCACTCACACCTGAGCCAGCCTACAGCACCCGCGCCCTGGGGCCTGCTTCCCAAACCCGGGGCCTGGAGCTGGACGTGACCTGAGATGAGTAAGCACACAGGTGTTTTCCAGAAAATGAAACCGAAGCCCAGGCTGGGGCGAAGACCTGCCCAAGGACACACAGCGAGGTGGTGGCAGTCAGATCAGAAAACAGGCTCTCCAACCCTAACCCAATCCCCTCGGGCTTTTCCCACTCCACCCTCACCCGATGGCTGATCAGATTCTCATGGACTCCATCCAGGAATTCCGCTCCCACACAACACATCCTGTGCCCAATGCCACCTCACCTTGGGCCCTCCCTGGCAGCAGGCTTGGAGGCTTGAGGAGGGAATCGTCAAGCTGCCCCCAACTTGCACCTGCTGCTGGCTGTCTGGGAGGGAACGCTGGGCCTGGGGCAGGACCCAGGGTACATAACTGGGAAGGAGATGGCTGGACGGGAAATTTGGATTCTATCCAAGCCATACTGAACATGTGAGACCCCTCCCCAATGCCGCCACCCCCCCCCCCCACACACACACACACTTCAAAGTCCCTACAACATCCGCAGGCCCAGCTCTGTGCCAGCACAACAGCAGGTGCCCAGCACTGGTTTCTGGGCCAAACAATGAATGAAGAAGAATGAATGGATGAATGAATGACGCACAGTTGGCTCCCTGGCCTTCCCCAAGGTCACAGGGTGCGCTGGGGGTAGTGGGTTGGGTGTCCACACTCCCAATGCAGTGTTCATTCCCCTCCACCATCCCAGGGGATGAGGTTATCCCACCCCGAGCCTGAAAACGAACGGCTCTTCTCCAGTAGCGGGGGGTGGGTGTGTGTGTGGGGGCATTGGATGGTTCTGGACTCTGAAAGCTCCCCTTCTCCCTCCCCAGACTCAACCAGCTTCACCCAAACAGGTTCCCAGGCGCCCCTCCCACCTCCCCACACCCGGAAAGCACAGCGGGAAGAGGGGTCCCCAGAATTACCGGCAGCCGGCCGGCCGGCACGCATCGCACAGCTGGGCCCTCGGGTCCGTGGGGGGTGGCGTCCAGGCAGGTGCCGGACACCGCGGCGGGGGGCGCCGTCTGCGCGTACAGCGAGGTGGTGTAGTAGGTGGCGGTGAGCGGGCAGAGCTGCGGGCTGCCCAGGCCGGGTGGCCACAGCTCCGTGGGGCTCAGGGCCGGCAGCCCCTGGAGGGGCAGCGCGGCGGCCGGGGCCGGCGCCCGGGGCCCTCGCAGCATGGCCAGCGCCGAGCCCCCTGCCCAGGCGCGCCCGCGGGCACCGGCGCGCTCGGGAGCCTGCGGCGGCTCAGCCGGCCCGGGGCATGGAGCGGGGCCGGGGGCAGCCGCCAAGGGACGCCCGCGGGGCGAGGCCGGACCCTCCCCTCCTGGCCCGCGGCCCGGGGAGCAGCAGCGCCCAGGGATCCCGGCGCGGAGACCGCACCGCCAGGGGCTGCCCCGCCCCGAGGGCGGCCGCGACCGGCTAGTCCCCACGCCCCGGGGGCCTCGGCGCCCGGGGTCCGCTGCCTCCGGGGAGGGGTCTCCGGCTCCACGGAGCGGCGATGCGCTCGGACGCTCGGACGGGGAGGGGACCGATTGCACCGGCTTCCTCCGGCCTCGCCGTGCAGCACCCGCGTCTTTCTCCGCCACTTTTTTTTTTCTTCTTTTTTTTTTTTTCTTTTTTTTAGCGCCAAACGGCGTGCCGCGAAATTCGGATCTCCCGCGGAAAATGCCGCGCCGCCGTTGGCCGCTGCAACACTTATAGGCTCCGCCCCCCGGAAGGGACCGCCCCGGACGGCGACTGCGGCCGGCGTTTGGCTGCTTAAAGGGACAGCCACACCCGCCGCCCAGGCCGGGAGGGCGGGCCCGGGGGAAAGAGGGAGCGGCCGGGGGTGTGGAGCGCTGGGGGGGGGGGGGGGGGGGGAGGGGGGATGCGCGCCAGGGCACCTGCGGGTGGGGCGGAACAGCCCTGACCTGAGCCCAGAGAGCAGTACATTCATTCCCCATGCCGAGGACTTTTAAATATATTTTATTGATTTTTTTTTTTACAGAGAGGAAGAGAGAGGGATAGAGAGTTAGGAACATTGATCAGCTACCTCTTGCATACCCCCTACTGGAGATGTGGCCGCAACCAAGGTACATGCCCTTGACCGGAATTGAACCCGTGACCTTTCAGGCCGAAGCTCTATCCACTGAGCCAAACCGGTTTCAGCGGCCGGAGGCCTTTGATTGGCATGGTTGTTCAGCTAGCATGTCTGTCCTTTTTCTCGCTAAACTGAAAGCCGGAATCTGTTCTCTTTCTTGGCAGGGGAGGGAGGGAGCCTAACAGGTAGACCTCTTCCTAGGGGGACACTAACATCTACGTAGTGAGTGCCTGCTAGATAATTACATGTATTTATTGTCATATTATTATTATTATTATTATTATTATTACTAATTTGTTTTTTGGTTAATCTTCACCTAAGGATATTTTTTCCGTTGCTTTTCAGAGAGAGTGGAAAGGAGTGAGGGAGGAATCAGGGGGAGAGACACGTGGACTGGTTGCCTAGTGGTTGCCTCCTACACCCTGCAACCCTGGTACGTGCCCCTGACTGGAATCGAACGCACAACCCTAGGATGTGCAGGCTGGTGCTCTAACCACTGAACAACACCGGCCAGGCCTGTGTGGTTTTATTTTGTTTGACCCAACAATCCTGGGGAGAGGAATGAGGATCTTCCTGGTGAAGAGACACAATCTGAGAGGTGGGGTAGCTTGCCCCAGGTCACCTGATTGGAGAACTAGCAATCTAATCTGGGACAGGCCGGCTCTTGAGGACTTGTTTGTTCCAGTAAAAGATTCCTCCTCAACTCTCCCAAGCCCTGCCCTGCCCTGCCCCTTGTAAGCATGGGTGGGAGTGGGTGGGGGTCCAGAGTGCAGAGCTGTCTTGTTCACAGTTGTCTTCCCCGCAGCCCAACACTCAGTAAATATTTGAATATCTCCAGGTTTCCCGGAAAGAATCCTTTGGTAAGAGCCTCCCTCCCTCATTCAGAACCTTCCTGGCTGATAATACATTTATGTTCCTCTTCTCTCCAGGTTAGAGATGCCGAGGTTCAGGGAAGTGAGCGTGGCCAGTGAGTGGCTGTGCTGCGAGAAGCTGCTGCTACATTCCAGGTGTGCTGACCCAGCGGGTGCTGTGTGACTTTTTGCATGTCTGAACCTGGCATCTCAGAGCCCTTCAGAGCCCAGCCCCAGCTGAGTACCTAGTCCTCATCCTCAGATGGTGAGGCTGAGGTGGCAATAATGTGTTTGGCTCAGTGGTAGAGCATCGGTCTGCGGATTTGATTCCAGTCAAGGGCATGTACCTTGGTTTCGGGCACATCCCCGGTAGGGGGTGTGCAATAGGCAGCTGATTGATGTTTCTCTCTCATCGACTTTCTATCTCTCTCCCTTCCTCTCTGTAAAAAAATCAATAAAATATATATATATATATATATATATATATATATATATATTTTTTTTTTTTTTTTTTTTTTTTTTTTTAAAGAGCAACTTTGTAGTAGACAGCCTTGGGTTTCAACCCAGGCCCTATCCCTTGACTAGCTGTTTACGGTTTGTAAACTCTCTGAGCCTCGCTTTTCTCATTCCCGATAACAACCACTTTGTAGGACTCTGGGGAGATTTCAGGAAGAGATGCCTGTAAACCTCTCAGCATAGACACTGGTTCGTGAGGAACCTCAAAGAAGTGGCAGCTATGTTTACATCTCTGCCATCTCCAGGACACAGACCCCTTTACAGTCTACATATTCTGCTGATCCTTCACGGCCCAGCTTACACCTCACCTCCTCCAGGAAGCCTTCCTTGACTGCCTCCCCTTTACCAGAGTGTCTCTTGCACTTTCAACCTCAAAAGATGGGTGGGAGCGCTTCCTGAATGCCCCTTAGCCTCCAGGGCCTGATTTGGCATGCAAAAGGTGGGTAATCAATATTGACTATATGAGTCACTCATCTTCCCAGCAAAGAATGGCCAGGAGGCCCAGATTTAAGACCCACTTTCTGTCTGAGTGACCCTGGACGAGCCATCAAATGTGCATAATGCTCTCACTCTCGGCCTATTTCAGAGACACCACGTAAATGGTGGTGGTAAAATTTTAAAGACAGGAAAAAAATATAAATTGGTCGCCGTTAATATTTATGAGGACCTACTGTGCGCCAGGCCTCAAGCTCTTGGGCCTCTCCCCTGATCCTCACAGCAGCCCTCTGAGACAGGCACTCTTTTTATTCCCATTTTACAGATGTGGGGACCTGGGAGAAACTGTGGCAGAGCAGGTTTGGGGAAGAGGCAGAGCCCCAGGGCCAGGAAAGGAAGTGGGGGTGGCAGGGTGGGGCTGAGAGAAAGCAGGGAGCCAGCACCCTGCGGTGGAGTTTCGGCCCGCTGGGGCTGGCTTTAGTTTCACTGCCTGGGAACTAGTTCCTGCAAGAGGTGTGGGGCACAGATCTGCCGCCTGTCTCCCTGAACTTGAATTTCTGCCCCATTCACCCCTAGCATTATGTTCTTGGTCTGCCTGCTGGACCTCTCTGAATCTCAACTTCCTCACCTTTGCAATGGGAATGGCAAAAGTGACATTTTCACTTACTGAGGATCCATAAGGTATTGGATATAAAATCCTCAGAGGGGTGCGTGCATAGCAGGTACTTACGTTTTAGCTAAAGTTTGTGTGGGATGAACCAGACGAGGCCCTCACATGGAATCAAACTAAAATTCTTGCAGTTTGCCCTAGCTGGTTTGGCTCAGTAGATAGAGCGTTGGCCTTACAGACCGAAGGGTCCTGGGTTCGATTCCAGTCAAGGGCTCATGCCAGGGTTTCGGACTTGACCCCAGTGGGGGGATGGGGGTGCAGGAAGCAACCAATCAATGATTCTTTCTCATCATTGATGTTTCTAGCTCTCTATCCCTCTCCCTTCCTCTCTGCAATCAATAAAAATATATTTAAAAAATAAGTAAAAGAGATACTTAAAAAATAAAATACTTGCAGGTGTCCGTTCATACCTGTGGATGAAAAAAAGGGGGGTTCTATGGAAAGTAGCCTCACAGGGTGATCTGATCATACATTTCTAACTGGGCAGGTCCTGGTGGGTTCTCATACCCCAAACTTGTGACTTCTTTAGTGAAAGGTTTTAAGCAAGTCCTGTCCATTGTTGGGCATCTAGGTAAACACACATTTATTTATTTATTTATTTATTTCTAAAATATATTTTATTGATTTTTTTTTTTTTTTTTTTTTTTTTTTTTTTTTTTTTTTTTACAGAGAGGAAGGGAGATAGTTAGAAACATCCATCACCTGCCTCCTGCACGCCCCCTACTGCGGATGTGCCCGCAACCAAGGTACATGCCCTTGACCGGATAGGAACCTGGGACTTTTCAGTCCGCAGGCTGATGCTCTATCCACTAAACCAAACCGGTTTCAGCTAGGTAAACACACTTTTTAAAATATATATATATTATTGATTTTTTTATAAGGAGGAAGGAAGAGAGATGGAGAGTTAGAAACATCAATGAAAGAGAAACACAGGTCAGCTGCCTCCTGCACACCTCCTAATGGGGATGTGCCCGCAGTCAAGGTACATGCTCTTGACCGGAATCGAACCTGGGACTTTCCAGTCCACAGGCCGATGTTCTATCCACCAAGCCAAACCTGTTTCAGCTTTAATTTCAACCAGTTATAATACCCCTGGGAGGGGGTATTAACCTTCAAGAGAGCACATAGTCTTGCTAACCGTCCTATACTCTAAGCCCAAGCTCCCTGTTGCTTTCTCTCACCTTCATGTACATTCACGTGCACAAAAGAAGCTGCAAAACTGTTCATCTCCAGAGCATTTGAGATCTGGCTCCCCAGCAGATGCTGTGACTGGCTTAAACAAACTCATAAAAATTCTCTACAGGTTTGATCTTTCTTAATGTTGACATGCTCCACACTCTCCTGGTTCCCAGGCTTTGCTGACATGGCTTCATATCCACAAGGCCTCTCCTCCCTTCCATCCCCACGTGCTCAAATCTGATCCATCCGTCAAGGCCCAGTGCCAATGGTAGAGGGGCAGGAGCAAGGAGTGTGAATTCAGACATCCAGTGAAATGTAAAACCCCTTGAGAGCAGGACCCAGGCTCTGTTTTCACCTTTGCACCCTCCTCCCGGGGAGTGCCAGACATACAGGGCGTGAGGACGGTGGTAATAGCTAATAAGTCAGTGAGGCTGGTAGTAATCTTAC